GGAATGAGGAGAAAAGGGGGTGTTTGGGAAGGGGAAGAGACCCCTCCTGGATACACAGAATAGGGGATGAGGATGAAGTGGCCTATTTTGTTGCCATTTAAAACAATTCTGAAGCAATCAGCATTTTGCTTGGTCTGGGGGGCAGGGGAGAGAGGGACTGCAAGGTGTAAACATTGGACCTGCCATCCTCACTCGGCCAAAGACACACACTTTCCATTCAAAGCTGATTTTTCCTAGCTACGAATTTGTCCTCCTCCCACCCCTCCAAGTAAATTGCCTGGTGGCTTATTACCCCCGCACTCCCTCCCCCCCAACACACACACACATCAGGAGCGGGGATATTGACACAATCACCAGCTATCCCATCCTGAAATGACACCACCTGCCCCCACAATCTGCAGAGAAGTCCAGGAAGCTATCTGGTAGGAGGATCCATTCCGAGCCTGCAAAGGACATCTGGGGAGGCGCATGGTCCTAGCGGGCAGGAGCAGAGGAGCGTGGCTGGGGATGCCTGTTACATCTTGCCATGGACCGCTTCAGACATCATGCTTGGGCTCTGAGCATGTCGTATTTTTGCACTTTGTATGCAGGATGTATATTCCAGCTTCCGACATGTCCCTGTACAAAACCGTCATTGGCAATGGCAGCCTCTAAGGATGTATTCTTTTCAATCTGTCACTTAAGTTTTGTTTGTTTTTAACATCTTTGTCATATGGAAGTGGCCTGCTGAAGTTCCTTTCAGTCCTACCCTTCTATGAGTCAATGCCTGCCTTGATTTTTTCCCTCCCCACTCCCCCGCCCTGATAATATACAGCCATTAAAGATGCAGTACCCCGGTCCTGAGCTGTTATGGTCGCAATGACAAGAGCATGGTTTTAGCTCGGTTGCTTGGAAATTCCTGAAGTCCTGTGGCATTTCAAAAACAATTTAACTGCTTTCCCCACCCACCTCCATCCCCAAGCCCACATGCAAGTCCCTGCCTGATACGTCCGCTGTGCACAAGAATCCAATCACCACAAGGTGCAGTTCAAATGGTTAACTGCCCCCTCTTTGAAACCATTCCGATATCCACTGTGTCCAACCCACAATGACACCCACAGCAAATCAATTGGATAAAGAGGGGTGGGGGAGTTATGAGGATCAGATATGGCCCATATACAATCCTCAAGCACGGTCACCAAATCCTTCTCCTTTTACATACCGAGTGTTGGGCACAGCCCCCTGACGTGTGGACTTGGCTTTGCTTTGCTTATATTTTAGCTATTTCTCTGCTACCTTTTGAGCAGATTTCTTTATTACACTGCACTGGATTGCTATATTTTTAACCAGAAATAAACTAAAGATTAGAGCATGTGCCAGTTAAATTCACTTCTTTTCCTTAAACAGCCACGCTCATTCCGTCTTGCAGTTTTCTTTCTTTCTTTTGTGTTTGTTTTTCTTTTTGGGTTGAGGGTGTGGGAGGAAAGGGATGAATGGCAGATAATGTGAGCCTAATAACCTCTCTGATCACTTTGTTTCCAGGGGAACAGTCCATCTGTTTTTGGTCACCTTCATTTTTTCCCCCATTCATCTTTTTTAATATTGAATGGTTGCTGCAGACCTTAAGTGAACCAAATAACGACATAGTGTAATTGCAGCCCTAGGGAATCATACATGCTACAATGTGTTTTGTAAATCTGTTTGCAACTCTTTGTAAAGATTCTAGAGAACTTTTTTTGTACATTCCAGTAAGTGCATGACACAGAGATACCTACGGAAGCAGGTTACATATTTACATGCAAACACAGTACAATATTTAGATATGTATAAAACAGCACAAAAATGCATATCATTATCAAATAAAAGTACTAGTGGTTTCATGACTAGCTTTTTTCACACCGGTGACTTACTAGTTATTACTGCTTTTCTCTCAGGCCTCCAAGAAATCAATACATGGCTACTCCAAATTCAGTATAACTCCATTTGTCTTTCATCACTTGGTTTTGCTCTAAAGCATCCAACATCGGCCACTGTTGGAAGACAGGATGCTAGGCTAGATGGACCATTGGTCTGCCCCACTATGGCTATTCTTATGTTTGAGTTTCCATGGAACTTAACGTTCAATCACGGTGTCTACGATTCAATGGGTCTGAATGACATCTGAAGAGCAATATTAATTGGTTCCCAAATAATGTGATTATAAAAAAATCCCTTGATTAACTGAGGTAAGTTGAGCAATTTGTCTCAGCTCTATACTGTCACATCCACCCAGAGACCAAAAATATTATTGACAAGTAACCCAAAGAGATACTCTACCACATGTGTACTGTAGTCGTGGCTCTCTCATGTCTAAGGCACCCATCACCATAGCGTCTGGACACCACATCTACGTGCTGTTTTACATGTATACTCACGCATTGCTGGACAGATGAATGCAAGCAGCTGTGCTGTTCTGAAGTCGGTAGAATTTGCTTTTCAGGCTTAGGGATTTTCTCGTTTTCCTATTTCCTGTAGCTATTTCACACCAATCCAACCTCGGGTCTGGAACGTGCCCTCAAGCTGCAGGAATAGAGCCAAGCTCCCCAGCCCCACCCTGCTCAGATGCTCATGGTTTTCATAGCTGGACCCCAGAAAGGCTACCTTCAGACTGCACCTGGATCACCACTGGGTCACGATAAAGCCAAGTCTTTCAGGGAAGCGTTAGGAAGAGGGATACAAAATTCCCTGAACTGGTTTAGCACTGTGGTCTGTTCTTTCGCCGCCAGGAACCATGTGGAATGGCAGGGCCCCTTGGGACATTTGGTAACAGCCAGTGGCTCATTTTGCACAGGGAGTCACGTACTCAAACCACTGAGGGCTGCACGTGGTTGAAACAAACTTTACACCAGTTCTCTTGCAGAGCTCCCGTTCGCTACATGCTAATCAGGAGCTCGCCGTTCGTGGTGACCCTGCTGGTGCAGCTGAAAGGCCTTGAAGAAACTGGATGTGGTTGGGCTGAGGGGGGAGGGGAGAGTGAAGCTTCGAGCACGTGGGTAGGTCAGTAATTGAAGGCCTGGTTTTCAGAGATGCTGAGCCCCTGCAGCTCCCAGGAATTGCGGCTGGAGGGGGTGGATGCCTCACTGTGTCTGACACTCAGGCCCTCGCTGAACTGACGCGTAACAGGCACATGCTCCTCTCGCGAGCGCCCCCCTTGGCTGAGGGCACGTGGCTGGTGCTCTCTGCGGCGAGTCTTCGGGGACTCAGCCCTCCAGCCGCATCACATAACAGTCTGTGTGATGAGACCAAAGCAAAACCCCTTCTCAGATACAAGGCCAACAGGGGGGCCTCTCTCTGTAACCGCTCCCATGAGGTGTCCATGCACCTGCACAGAGCTGTGCTCCACGGCCTTTCTGGCTGCAGCACTCCAGCAGGGCCATGGCAGTGCAGTTTCCCCACTGAAGCACCTCAACGTCCAGGCCAATCCCGTGCCGGGGGCTAGTGACCAGGAGGCCCCAGACTTGCCCACTACTCCTGGTCCCAGCCCAGGGACCCTGTAAGTAGCAGTGGTTGCCACATCCCTTTCTCTAAGTTGTGTTGCTGCTCTAATTCCTGGGGCCCTGTGCAGTCTTCATTGTTCCCTCAGGGCCTTGGCCTGAGGGTGTCCCCACGCCCAGCTCAGGGCTCCTTCTTGCTCTCGCTGGCTTCTGGCAACCTGGCCCTGTAGCTTCCTCAGCTGCCATGCCCCATCCACAGTCCTCCAGCTCGCACCAGGAACTGGAACTTACTTGAGCCCCGCAACTCTTCTTATACATACTGCCCTGATTGCCTGTGTTCTATGGCATCCACTCTAGGCAGCTTGGAAGACCCTCTCCACTGCCCTTTTCTGGGGGATGGTGTGGCAGGGCCATGAAGTCTGCTGCAGGAGGTCTACACCTCTCCTTCTGTGCAGAAACAATACTTGATCTCTTCTTCTTGTTTTTCCTTCCCAATCCACACTGCGTAGCTCTGTGGCAAGTCCTGCCCCAAACCCAACTTTGGGACTATTCCTGAAGGCCATGCTGTGTGTGGGACCAGCACATAATGCACATTAGAGCTTGCTCTGTGGAGCAGAGATCCATAATAGCTCCCTTGGCTCGTTACCGGGCCTCAAACCTCATGATTCCCTACAGTTGCTTTTCTTCCTTCGTGCTTTGTTCCTCTTAGTAGGACTCCACTTCAGATTCCAACAGCACCGCGGGCCATCCTTTTGGCATTTAACTTGCATGTCAGCATCAGCTCATTCTTGTGGGGTAGGGGTAACTGTAGGCCTGCTGGCATGAATCCGGGCCCCAGACAAAACAATCAATGGGACGCCCTCCCTTGGCCAGAGCCAGGAGTCCCCCACCCACCCAGAGAAGCCCTGAGTGTAATTCCCCCCACCCAGTCAGAAACCCCTACCCTGATACCCACCCTTATCCTTTACCTCAGCCGGAGCTAGACGCCTTCCCCTGGGCAGAAAAGCCCCAAGCGCTCTTTCCTCTCACCTTCCCCCCACCCCACCCTATAGTGGTGGCAGCTGGATCCCGGGGCCCTAAATCGCCCGGCCCCTGGGCAATTGCCCCCTTTTCCCTCCCTCCCCCAGTGGCAGGCCTGGATAACGACCGTACTGAGCAAAGGTGACTACCAAGGCCAGTGAATCCCACAGTTCTCAAATGGTGTCCAAAAAGGTCCAAACACAGAGTACGCATAGGAGCATTCGCGCCTCATAGGAATAGCGCCCTCCCCCATCCCCCACCCTTTATGACTTCTTAAGAGTTGACTTTGGCAGGGTGTGAGGATTTTTTTTTTTTTTTTTGTCCTTGGGGGGGGGAAAGTAGCCAAAGACTTGACTGCCGCGGATTGCTACAAATACACCCAGGCACTGTACCCCTGCCATGCAGCAGAACGTCAG